GCGCCCGGGCCCTGTCTGTGGCTGCGGCGGCAACCGGCCGCGGGCACCCGACACACCAAAAACACCCACCGCCTCCCCCGGGCCCGTGCCCGTTCCCCTCCCCACTCTCCGGGCACCAGCGACCGGCGGGACGACGCACGAACAGACCTGCCTACAACAGGCGCTCCCTCGTCGAGTGTTCCCACGCGCGCGCGTGCGCGGAACTCCCCGGGCGTGATCAGGTCACGTGCAATCAGGCGCTCGCTCGGACCCCACAATCCCCCTACCGCCCCTTTTGCCAATGTGTGTGTGCTCGCGAACGAAATGGATGCGGATCACAAGAAGTAAGAACACCGGTACTGGTGTATTCCACCCACAGGGTGCATGTCACAAGCTATTGGGTAGGCAGGAAGGTGGCAGGAACGACGGGGCAATTGCCCAGGCTGATGCCAGGCCTGCGCTCCTTCATGGAGCCCCCCTCCTCCGTGCTACTCAGGTGCATTTGCCTCCCCCCCCCCCCCTCAGCAAGTTTGGGGATGGAGGAAGAAGGAAGATGCGGCTTCCTGTCCGAACACAGGCGCTCCTTTCCTCAATCAGCGGCAAAGAGGCTCAAGTACATGTCGGATATCCGGACAAGGCCCTGGAGAGCCGACGCGGCGAGCGCCAGCACCAAGAGCACCACCACCGGCGCCATGGTCAGGAAAGTTAGCACCAGGGTCAGCATGCGCGTGTCGATCACTGCCCACTGGCTGATCTGCGCCCGGGGAGAAGTCCGAAGTTCGGTCAGAGAGATGGGCCCGGCCGGGCGCTGCACTCTCAGAAGGGCGCGCGGCTCCCTAATCAAGTCCGGGAGTTCTGTCAGTTCAAGGAAGTGCCAGTGCCCCCGACCGGGGCATATGCGAATGCACATATGTCGATGGGAGGAACCCACAGCGCGAGTAAGGGAAAGGAGGGGACAAAGGACCAATACACCGACACACGCAAACACAATCCGGGGGGTGTTCGGCCCCGCGCACGCGCAAGCCCCACCCTGCTCCGGCTCCATTGGTGGCCCCCTCGCATGCCTGCCCGACCGCCAACCTTGCCGCCCCCTGCGGTGGCCCATGGCCGAGACACCTCCCATCCGCTCGGACCCCGGGTGTAATGTGTGTGTGTGTGTGTGTATGCCGACATGCTACGCCCAGCGCGAAAGACAAACACACACACACACACAACACCCGGAGGAAGCCAGGGAGTAGGATACCGCAAGTGACGCAACGGGGAGACGGATCGTCGGTCCAGGCATGCCAAGGGCAGGAAGGGGGACTCGGAAGAGCCGGGCCACACAAGGCCTCGCGCTTGTGGCGTACCTCGCGACATGAGGACCTGCGCGTCACGGTCGAAGCGCGATGAGGAGGCTCCGGGTATCGTGCTGTCGCTGAGCCTCATGCCTCCGCCCGGACTCCGAGCCCGGAGCGAGGCAACCGCCAGCAGCAGCCCCGACCCGGTGGCTGATGGGAAGGATGGGTCATGCTGCTGCTGCTGCTGCTGCTGCTGCTGCTGCTGCTGCTGTTGTTGCTCATGATGCTGCTGCTGCTGCTGCTGCTGCTGCTGGATTTGTTGCTCATGCTGCTGTTGCTGATGCTGCCGCTGCTCGGTCGCGACGTCCTGCGACTTCTTGTGAATGGCCTGGCGAATGTGCGCCAGTGCCTGCCTCACGGGCAAGAGACATGTGAAGAGGGCGGGGATGGGAGCGGCCGTGGTGTCGGCGGCCGGTGCCATGGGCTGTGGCTGCGCCTGCGCCTGCGCCTGCGCCTGCGCCTGCGCCTGCGATTGCGAGTGCGACTGCGCCTGCAACAGCGGCTGCGCCTGTGACTGTGGTGACGGCGGGACCGGGAGGGGGACTGCCGAGGGTGCCGGGAAGTGGCCGCCGGCGGTCCCATGTGGCCGACTGACCAGTGACACAACAAACCGCCCTACCACACCCAAGGGCCGAGTCAGGGGCCAGCTGCCGGACCGGCTCCCATGCCCCTCGGGAAGAACATCCCGCGAGGTCCCGCCATCGGCCGTCGCACTCGGGTGCGATGAGATCTGGTGCCACAGGAGAAACGGACAGTAAAGCAGCCGCAGGATGGCCTGCAGCGCGAACAAGACAAATCCCCGGAAGTCCGACAGCGGGAAGAACTGACTCGAGGCAATGGGTGGATCACGGATCACCCGGCGCGAGGACACCGCAGCTGCAAAGGGCCACACCGTCATGGGGGGCGGAGGGGTGGGAGAGAGAGAGAGAGAAAGAGAATGAGACGCAGGACCACCACAGCGCCGCATGGCGAAGGGGGTGCCCAGGGGAGGCAGCGGCGAGAAGGAAGGCAGCGAGGGGTGTGGTCAGTGGATGAGCAAGCCAGCAGCCCTTGCGGATGCGCCCCACAACAAGGAGGGGCAGGGGAGGTCGAAGGGAAAGAAGCGCACGGGCGGAAGGACACGCACGCCTGTACCGGAAGTCCACCAAGGACAAATTGTGCTCCAGGGCGGCGACAATGTCCCGCTCGATGCCCTGGTCAATGTTGATGTCGGGATTGATCAGCCCTAAGGGGGGAGACCCGCCATCCCATCCCCCACGGGAAGAGGCGTGCATGGGAAGCCGAGTGCGGAGCGGCCGGTCAGAGAAGGCCAACCCAGGAACATGGGCTGGGTCAGGCCCGGGGAAGGCAGCGTGCCAAAGGGTCTCGAATGCATGGGCATAGGGGCCTCGGCGTACCGGTGATGTCAAGCTGCCGGAGGCTCGAGTTGAATTGAATCGTCCGAACGAAGGAGCCCAGTGCCCCGTGCAGCCCGTCATTGCCTGGAGCAGGGGGCCAGGGGGAGGAGAGAGAGAGAGAGAGAAAGGGAGAGAAAGACGAAGGCGCGGGATCAGACAAAAGGGCCACCGAAAGGGGGGGGGACTGTGAGAACGGCGCCCGAGGAGGGACATCACAGGGGACATGCTGCCCCAGCAGGCCCACCACAGGGGCTGCCATAATCCGGCGGACACCACGTACCACGCAGCAGGCACGTTTCGAGGGAGTAGTTCCGAGAGAGCGCCTCTGCCAAGGCCCGAATCCCATCGACGCGGATGCAGTTGTCTGGTCGATGCGAAGAGAGATCGCCAAAACACATCCATTCGCACACGCACACGCACATGCAGCGCGGGGGGGGGGGGGGGGACCATGCCCATGTGCGCGCATGCAAACAGGCAACCCCCGGCCACCAAAGGACAGCTTGTGGTTAGGTCGCGCGGAAAGGCGGCCACCCATGTGCAGGGGAGCCCAGATAAAGCATGGGGGGGGGGGCACAATCCACCGGCACAGCAGCGGGAGTGGAAAAGAAAAAAAGAGAACCCACGCACAACTCAGGTCCAGCTGGCTCAGCTGGCACAGGCTGCCGACGGATTTCAGGTCCTCGAGGCTCAGCTGCTCCGGGTGCAGTGCGTCGCCATAGCGCCAGGGGGGCACACAAATGTAACTATCCTGCGTCGGGGGGAAGAAGAATTCCACCGGGCACAGGGAGAGGGAAATGAGCCGGGCCCCCTGGGGGGGGAGGGGGGGGGGGGGGGGGGGGGGGGGGGGGGGGGGGGGGGGGGGGGGGGGGGGGGGGGGGGGGGGGGGGGGGGGGAGGAGAGCCCGCAGGGAAGGTCAGTGTCAGAGAAGCAAGTCCAGCCCTTGGGGTTCCCCCTTTTGCTTCGCCTCCCGGCTCCCCGAGAGGGAG